GGCATATTTTTGTAATTTTGCTGTCTCCTTTAGTCAGAATTGTTCTTCAGATTGGCTGATATGAAACTAGCGTGGATTTTTGATATATATGAACAAACTGTGTTTGGAATATGCCACCAAGTAGTTGATGGATAAATAAAGAAAAAGTAATCTTTTTCAACTTGTCTGAAGAAAGCAGCTGTAATTTTCTGAGTTAATTACTTTCTATGAGCAGGAGAATTATTAAAATAGCTAGAAATTGCACTAGGTTTTCTGAAGTAGATAACAGAGAACGTTTTTTCCAAATTGTGAATTCAATTGCGGGCTGTAGTGAGAAGGGTGATGTTACAAATCTCATTGATAGGCAATTTGTCCAGGACGTAGTATTCATAGATTTGTTGAGTGCGTCTTTCATCCTGCAAGTACAACATGTTCTTGTGTAATTTTACTCAGGTGATCAATTTAAATTAGAAGATTAGGAACAAGTAGACATCTGTGGACGGCAGTGGTGTGTCATACTCCCAGACCTCGCATCGGGGATGGGATGGTGGTAATGATGGTTAGTACGATTATGATTCAGCTCTGCGTGTTTATTTGTGATGAGGTTAAATGATCACAGATTGGCTGCCGTCCAGTGAAATGGCTGAAGCGTGGATAGACGCGGGACACGCTCATCAGCAAATTTAACAATAAATTTAGGATTTAGTTGAGCTCATTGGAGATGGCATTAAGGCTGATGGCAGTTGCCCTCTTCAGATCTTCATAAACATCCTGTGTTTGGCTGAAGTCATTGTTGTGGAACTATGACAAAGCCGAGATGCAGGAAACTCTGTACATTTTGCCTCAGCAGATAACTGGAAGTATGCCACGGTGCTTTTTCTTTTCTTTCACTTTGAGAGTTTAGACTTTCCATGTCATGAATATTAGAATATTTGTGCATGAGATTAGGTCCTGTTGCTCACAGCAAAAGCTGAATATTGGTAGAAAACATTTCCATTTCTAACAACAGCAGAACGCTCGTTTTGAGATACAGACTTGCATATACTACCCTGCTCTGCAGGTTTCCATTTTCTCAGCTAACATCTGTAAATAACTTTCAACTTGTCCCTGTTGATTCCCCAACTGCTCTATCTCCCTTGTCGCTAATGTCAGAGACAGATGAGTCTCAAGGGGAGTGCGAGAAGGCTGGAACAGAAGTGCTGCAAAGAGCCACGGAGCAGTCGGGATGCTCCAGTTGGTCACCAGCATTCTTCTGGCACCCAGAGTCTGGAAATTCATTGAAGTCATAAAGGTTTTCTGAAAATCCACCCTGAACATTTACACATGAATAGCAAAAAACATGAGTTTACTTTGCATTTAATAATGAATCATCTTCCTTTTCCTTCTTTTATTCTGTTTCCTCTTTGGGTTTTATCTTCCACTCACTGAATTCAATCGCAAAACTCAAATTGGCTTAAGTGGGACAGGATCAGTTCCTGTGCCAGGAGGAATTATTATAATAGGGTGAAGATAATCTGGCATTTGATGTTTTATGTAATGATATCGTGATATTTTCAGGATTGTGTTTACCTATGAGTTCTGATTGAGGTTATGGAGCTACTGCCTGGAAACATTTTCCCCTGTAGATATGAAATCATACCCAGACTGTGTGTTTTACAGGCAGGTGGTATCGGAGGGTCAGTAAGCATCAGAACCTGTTCCAGTCTAAGCATTGGACACTGCAATAGCTGATCATTAAATAAACATGACTGTCAGGTTTGTCCTCAGTTATTTCGAAGATGGTAATTTCCTAGGAAACTGGAGTACGAGACTGTGTGTTAAGGCTCGGACTTGAGAACCATGGATGCCTTCTAGGTAGGAATGCAAATAATCTGTGAGAAAAAGGGAGCAGACTCAGGGCTTTGCCTCATTGATAGGAAGAGCTGTAGGACAGCTGAAAAAAAGAGCAAAACTGCTTGCCTAAAAAGGACAGCAAAACCAAGGGAGGGTTTGCTAATCAGAGATGAAAATAGATACAAGAGAGGAGAGTCAACTGCTACAGAAAGGCCAAGGCAAAAAGCAATGCCAGAGCCCCCTTAGGCCAAGCAAAACGTAGATGTACCTATCAACGCCGGCAGGTCCAAAAGCATTAGGTTCAGTGATGGTTGGTGCACAGCTGATGTATATATACAGAGAAAATCTGACACATCCCAGCTGGGTCAGGCATACTGCACAATTGTACACAGCCTGTGCATCATATGTGCAGTGAAGCTGATGCAGTGCTCTACGCATATGTGATTCAGCGTTGCTGTGAGCTGGCCATTTTGGTAGGACAGGCATCCAGCGTTTAGACAAATGTATTCAGTCAGTGCTCAGAGCAGCACAGAGAGGGAGATTTCCTGCTATAAACCACGGAGCAGTATCCACACTGGGAGAGCTGGCAGGGCTGTTGAACATACCTGGATCCAATGCATTTGGGACCCAAACACAGCTGTGTGTGAGCTCAACCAGGAAGATACAACTCCCAAAGTTTTCAGCCTGCATAGAACAGGATTGTGTTCACAAAGTCTAGTCCTTTTAGCTTGGGGAAAAAATGAAAAATAATAAAAAACCCAAGCACAACCCACCAAACATTTTGGATGAAGGTCAGCTTGAGTAATGTTGCATTTATTCTTACAGATACATTTTACTCATTATATTCAGTTCCCTCCCTTCTCTCCCAGATTTGTCTGTTCATCACTTCCAGCCCACCTGCTCCAGCTTTGCTCTCTTATTCTTTTCTTTCTGGTTTCCCCTTCCTCTGTGTACACACAGCCTCCAGTTTCTCCTTTATACTCCTGTCCCGTGAGGCAGCATTTCTGCAAGCTGCATTCCTTACTTAACAGGATTTGTGTGTTGTTTTTATTTTTCTTTCCTTACCACTGTACTAGGAAGGTGAGTCCCAGGGCAATTAGGGATACACATGTCAACAACCGAGTCTCATGAAAACTGCAGAGCTGGAAGTTTGCTGCATCTGTGTTTTATTTTATTTGAAGTGGTTTAGTATCTCGTGTAAGTTCCTGTCAAAAGCCATGGTGCTCTTCGTGTTTCATGGACACCTGGAATTGTTTGAGAGTCTCAGTTTTATGGTTGAAGTTGCTGGGTGAATAAATAATACACAGTTTAATAAGGGGTGAAGCAACATGGATGTTAACCTAAAATAACAGCACAGAATCATTTTCATGGCCTTCACCAGTGTTCATGAGAGTCAGTGGGAGGTTCTTCATTGGCTTCAGTGGGATTTTCATCAAGTCTGTTGGGAATACTGCTACTAAACCTCGCTCCAGACAGCAAGCTTTATAATATGTTGTACGTAAAATGAAGTAATAATTGTCTGGCAAAAAATAATGGACTGAAGCCAAAGGTCAGTACAAATCAGCTGTCATGGAAGGCTCAAAGGTTGTTCAGGTTCTGTGTAACTGTTCCGTATGTGTGATAAGGGTATGTGAGAGTACATTTTACAGTGAGAAACTACCTGTTTAGCTGGGAGGGTGCATTCTGTGAGGTATTAGTGGGATTGCAGTAATTAGTGGGACTGCAATATTTCCTCAAGAATGTCTGCATGTGATGAGATCTCCAAACGTGAGCCCTCACCACATACCTGCCAGGGAAGGTGTTTCAGGTGACATAGCACTGGCATTGAAAAGACACCCTTACTTCTACCTTCACTGTTTGTGTTCATTAATGGAGGCAAACTCCCAAATCTGTCTGAGTCATTAGCAGTAGCAAAGTATTTGAAAATTGCTAAATGTCTTGAGATGTTTGTAGAAACAGAAGTAAATACTGCAAGCAAAATAATGGATATTAATAATTTCCTTGCTCATTCAAGATTAATGATGTCAGGGTTAATCACTGCCCTATAAATACCCAAATAAATAAAATAGATTAGGCAAGTATTATCTGAGCATTTGCCTGGCTATCTGGCTTTCTCAGGATCATTAATTATTGACTTTTCAGAACTTGTTTCTAATTGACTTTAAATTTCCAGTATAGAATACCTGCAAAGAATGTCTAGAATTTTTTGAATCACCTATGAAGTTTCTTTCCACCAAATACATATGTAACCCAGAATAATTACCCTCAGGTCTTGCATGCAAGAAATATGAACCAACAATTGAGAAGCTGTGATTAGATCAATTAGTTTAGAAACACTGCCTGAAAATTATTCCCATATCTTTTATTAAGAAAAAGTAAGAGCTTAATGCAGCAACTTAATCTGTTCTTTGACCTCCTCTATGAGTTGGAAAACAACATAGACAATGAATAAAACATTTAGCCTGAAAAAAGAGTTAATCACTTCTTTCAAAAAGGAGAAATAGCCAGTGGTGACCATGATTCTGCTGAATATTTTGCATAAAAAGTCCGTTTATACAAAGCTGAAAGACTTAACCTGTACTCTGTCTTCAGAGTGCCTGGAGATGCATAACATGATATTGTATTTAACAAAAATATTACATGGATGATTAGTTATATCTGAATATACCTCATATCTGAGTCACTTTTGCCTTGATTGTAGTGATTAAATAGCTTTTGTTTTAGCTTAGAATCTGAGGATGCTTTTGAAAGGTGCAGACTGCTGCTATTGGGACAACTTTTTGGTATATCAAAAAATGTGGCAAGAACTTTAAAATGTTGCACTTGGTGTTAAATGCTGACTCTAGGGCCTCGACCTACAAGGCATGCTAAAAATCCTCTTTAAGTGGTAAAATGTGCTCATGTATTTGTGTACACTTATGTATATAAGCCTGTTGCTATTTTGCAGTTGAGAAAGCTGGAGGACAGACAAAACTAAATTAATTTCCCACAGGCAGACAGTGAGTCAGTGACAGAACTGATAAAAGAAACCACCGGTCCTGTTGAGATAGACTGAGCAAAAGCTGCGGCGTGGGACTTTCACAGACACAACACCAACCATAACACAGATGCAGATTATTTAAATGCTCTGCTCTGGTCACCCCTTCTCTAGATAACTTCAGCTGAGCCTGGTTTATGTAGAAGAAGCTCTCGCTGGCCAAATCTGATGGCTGCTTCCAGCCGTTGGCCTGCGGGGCTGTTTGCAGTCGGTATCTGTAAGCCACCTGCCTGCAGATAACCTGGCTTCTGCTGGTGTGTGTGTGAGTAACTGGGTGATGGGAGGAGATGGAGGAGGGAAGGAGTGTCAAGGCCGTGCCTGTTGCTGTCTGGAGGAGGTTAGTGCCATGCATAACACACTTAAACTAAGCTACTCTACAGTACCCATAGTTCTTTAAATTATATAAAACTGTAACGGTTACTGATCATTACTTACATTTATAATAGGGAAACTCAAAAGAGAAACAGCTGACTTTAATGACACACTAAAGCATCAGGTAAAGGTTTGTAAATACAGCAGCTCAGATTTTTGCAGTGATGAAAACCAATTCACCCAGCACATCTTTTTGTTTTCATTTCAGCAGGGCTGTAAAGAGTCAATAATAAAGTACTAGAACAGCGAATTAGAATTGGAATTTTGAAGAGTGAACTCAGTAACAATTACTAGTACCACTGAATTAATTCATTTAAATATTTTATTCAAAGTATTCTTTGCCTTCCTTTTAGCTCCAGGTAACTTCTGATATGAGGTGCTAGGTGGAAATATCAGATCTTAATTGGAAGATGCAAGTGTTTATTGTGGCATAAAATTAAACTGATCAGAAAAAATGGTTGGTGGTAACTTGCAAAATTTTACTGTTCTGACAAGTGAACTGTGTTTAGTAACAATCTAAAAAAGTTGGACAAATACATCTTTTTTCACAAAAATACAATTTTCTTTCCCACTGTGTAGGACCAGGCTCTAACTTTACAGTCTGCCCTGGTGTAAGTGCTGCTCCAGGCGCAGGGATTGAGTCCTGATTCCTTCCCTTCTCCTGAGGGGCTAGTAAAATGCTTTACCCTTTTTCTTTTTCTGAACCAATGCATCTTCTTCTGGGCAGCTAGCTTAGATGGTAAGTGGAAATTTTGTTGTCCACATTGTGTTATATGTTGCAGCAGGAAACTTTTTAGTGCATCCTTTCCTTTGGCATTATGTGGCAGCCTTGAGAAAACCAGTGTGGGTGCTCCTGCAGGTGTGGGTCAAAGCAGCTCTGTGTGAAAGATCTATCAAATTGCCTCTCTGTGGACTTTGTCATTTGATTGATACTATGCACAATTAATTGTTAAAATATGTTCTTTCTCTCCAACACCAAACATACTGAAAATTACTACCTACTTATACACTGGTAGGTTTGCTGCCTCCTTTCATATGTCAGCAGCCCATGCTGCAAATTATGCTGTCACCCTCTCAGATATCTTGTCATGCTTTTCACCCATCTCTTTTTGCTTTATCTGCTTGATACCATCTCACCTGTCTTAAGCACTCAGGCCTTAAGCCTTTCCTGCCAGTTGTTCTTCTAATTTCCCTGTGCGCATAACTAAGTTTTGAATCTCTTCTGTCCTTCAGCAGAGCTGATGTTTAATACATACTGCATCTCTTAAAAAAATAAAAAATAGAAAATCTGTCCCCGATTCTTTCATATTTCTTCACCCATTTCTCTTGCTCTTGAATGTCCTATTCTTGCATTTATGACAACATGGTGTATTGATACTCTTGTCCTACATATATTAATCTGTCTGTTCTATTGCTTCTTTATTCCATTGGATTTTATCAAGTACTGCTCCATTATTCATTCATATTTTTCTTTGTTAAAATGTAAATTAATTTTTAGAGAAATTTTCTCATTTCTAGATGTCTGATACAATCCTGATGAAATTCACCTTACTTGATGGAGAATTTTCATGTTATGTGAATTTTCTTCAGCTTCTCTGAAGCTTCATCAAAACAAATCCAATATATTTAGTAAAAAGAAACTTTCTTTGTGGAAAGCAATGGGCCTTATTCAGTAACATACTAGTATAGATGTATGTTGGACATAATTGCATGCATAACTATGGAAAATAACTATTTATGGTAAAAGTAGATTAAAAATAACTGATTTATTGGAACAGATCACACTTAAAACCTTTGAAGATTTGTTACTCGGGGGAAGCAGATACCCTGAGTACTGTAGGATCATCATGGTGAAAGCTGGGAAGGCCTTCTTGCTTGTGAGCTCTGGAGAGTGGAGACATGGCTGGTTGGGAAAGCTGTGGATACTTCTTTGATTAGCCTTTGATATCATGAAAATATTGTAACCACACTTAAAAAAATGAAGAAACAAACCTGCAACAAACATTGTTAAATGTAAGGATACAGAGAAACACATCCCTTTTTAGTGGGTGTCTTTTTTTTACATTTATTTTTATGCCTGATTATGTGACATGCGTGTAAAACAGTTCTGTAAACACACTGCTAGAAATACAGCCTCTCTAAATATAGGACAATGGACTCCTGAAAACCACTTTTTTATTTAAAAATAGCTCTAGAAATAGAGCTCTAAATTAATAAAAACCCATATGAAAAGTCTCTTAGTTAGGCAAAAAGGGATAAAATAATTTAAAGGCAAGCACAGTGAAAATGGCAGTTTTGAAATGAATAGTTGTGTAGAAATGCTGGAGAATTTTAAGCAGCGCTTCCTATTGAAAACCTCTCTGAACTCTCAACTTCATACCTAAGATAATTGAAGGAAAATTAAATTTACCCTTAGGACTATTTGTAGGAAACTCTTCTAATAACTTTTATATTTAGCAGATAATAGTACATTTATGGTGGTCGCAGCCTGCCTAATAGAGCTGTAATAGATACATTGTGTATTTAATCAATATCAATGAATAATAACTTCTCTTTATTAACTGTAATGGCACCATGGTTAATTTTAGCAGGCGTTGGAGGGGTATCTGTATTTTGTTAGACAAAGACAATGGTATTTTAAAAAAATAACCCAATATAACTGTTTTTATCAAGGCGTTTTAAAGATTCAGTGACTGCTTATTATACATCAAATGTCTAATCTTTTTTCATTTCCAGTATAATGTGTATTTTCACCTGTTGATAGGTATTACAAGATGCTCAACTAGCATAAGTAAAAGTCAATGGGCACATAAATTCTACCAAATACCTCTGTGCTATTGGCATCACAAATTATAGCTGCACTTAAACATTTGCAATATTTTCTCAGTTAGATCGTGCTATTGAATATATTTCCCACTGAAAATTATGAGAAATACAGCATGTTATTACTGTGAAATATCTTAAATAATCAAATTACTGTGTAGTCTCCTTGGTTCTTTTTGCTGACTCTGGCTGCTTCCTCGTTCTTGAAGACAAGCTGCAATCATCTCCTGTTCTCTATGCTTTTTGTGGAGATGGCGAGCAGCTTCTTAACCTGTTGTTGTTCGTTGCTGGTTTTAGGTCCCATGATTAATTGGGAAGCAAAATTCTGTGTCTGTTGATTTATAGCACAGTCTTTCTGGAGTTGTGAGGTGTCCAGAGAACACTCGCCCTGGAGATGCAATCTGTCGGCAGGTCCTGGGCTGCCAGAGAATGTGAGGCTGCTGGAAGGCCACTGGTGGAGGTGGCACTGTCACCTCTGAGTCTCAGCTGATTCCTCACTGACAGTGCCAGAATCTAGACAGCCAAATTTATATTCAGTTGCAAATTGCTGCACTCCCTATGATCTATCCCTTTGTCTCCAGCTTAGAAGAATGTATACGAATTATTACAGTTTACAAGAAGTTATGCTTCATTCAATGGAGGATAAAAGAGGTCTTTAAAACAAGCTGAGAAAGTCTTTGAGATCTTTGTTTCACAATCAGTTTAAGTGATGCCATTGCTGGCCTTCGAGGCTGGCCTCACCCAGCTTATGGAAGTCAAGCCTGTGATGTGCTGCTTTTGTGCTGCTTAGATTCGTGTTCAAGGCAGCCCTTTGTAGAGTGAAATGGCAGTTATCTGACTCACCTCTTGAGCTGATCCAATGTACCTTTCCTTGCCATCGCTGTTAGAAGCTACTACATCAATGGAAAGAGCAGTATTATCTGGATGAAATGTGAATGTCACAAGAATGGGCTGTATCAGACCATCTTCTAGTCCTGCATTTTTAGTATTCAGACAACATCATCAGCCACCGAGGGAAGGCATCTTCCATAACAGAGCCATTGCAGTCAGAAATGAAATGCTGACTCGTGCTAGGGATGTTCCAAGGGTGCTTAAACTCACAGCTATGCTATGTTTGAACTTGGTTTGCTTTTTGCTTCAAAGGCAAGTAAAAGTTGAAGGTTTTGATTATGATATTGCAAAAACTTCACATCATTGTCAGGGTTCATTTTATTCTGTAAATGACATAAAACTCATGGCATCAGTAACTAATAATATTTCTCATATTAGATTATTAGAGAACCAGATAAGTCTGGTGTCATTTTATTTAGAACCCTTAGGAAATACTCTGCTAAAACACTTCCCATTGAGGACCGGAGATGGTGCAAGTCCACGTGCTATTAACCCGTTTGTGCTCAGCTCCGTACTGTACAGGAATGCAGGCTGAGATGAAGTAAGACTGAAGAGCTCTGGGTTTAATTCCTCGTATCTCACAGATTTCCCATGTGACCTTGAGCAAATCACTTACTCTTTTGATTCTGTCTGGAAGCAGAGAGAGCAGGATTTTCCTGCCTCACAGGCATACTGTAAGCATGTCGTCTACTCAGACGCTGTGGTGTGGGGGGGCCGTGGGGATATGTAAAGCAGGCAGATGTGTTGCTGCTCCTTCTCAGGAGCAGATTCAGCAGAGAACAGTGTTCTCAGGCTTTCCACAGAGCTGTGTGAAGTTAACACATTTTCTGCCCTCCCCCTCTTTCATAAAAAAATATTTAAAATTCTTCCACCACGTTTTTTTAATCAACAATAGCTGCTCTAAATCTGTATCTCCATTGGTGTGTATTCAGAAAGCTGTTTCAGCATGAAGGATGAAGCTTTGTGAGGACATAACAGAAAAAGATTCTCTTTAATTTGAATTCTGACAAAAGTGTGCCTGCCTCGCTTTCTCCTTCACCTCACTCCACATTGTCCCCCGTGGCCTCCTTCTAGAACTGAAATCTGTTGGTGTTGATCTGTTGAAACACCGATAGACATATTATGAGAGAAATCAGCAGTCGCATGGCATCCAAACTGAACACAGCAGGGAGGATAATAACCAAAAATTAAGCCTATTGCCAAGGAAAATAATTCAATGATAGCTAACTTAGCAGTCAATTTTAACAAAAA